ATAAATGTGGAAGTAAGTTACCTGGCACAGAGAGAAGGAAGACGACAAATCCACTCGCTGCTGCTGTTAAACTCATAGCTGCTCCTCTCATCACATCCATGAGACACACTGGTGTGAGGTCGTCACATTAAACTTTCTTCTTCTTAAAATGAGGATGTGGTCTGTTAAGACACTTAAAAAAAATATATAGTTAACTTGTGTTAAACAGAAAAAAGACCACACTCGCCCTTCCTCTTTTTATGCATAAGTCAGAATAAGAGCAAGCCCTGACAGCTAAAAATATTTTCAGGACCTGGTATTTCAATGATATGTACGTATAATGATTTTAAAATGTGTGCTGTTTACAAATGTTTCATCAAGTAGACTGTGCTGTGTTTTATAAGTAAAAATAGAACAGGTGTGTGATGTCTGATTTGGGGACAATACCTCTGTTGCTGCATTCAGGTGCTGCGGTGATCCAAGTTTATGAGTTGGGAAGTCGTTCTTCCGACTTCAGTGTGTTCGTGTGATTTCAGTTCAGAAAGTCTGAATGTTGTAACAACAGCACAAAACAGCGTTGATGCTACAAAGAAGAAGATCAGAGAAATGCTAGTTAGTTTAGTTTAGTTTAGAATCAGGGACAGCGGTAAAAAAAACAACAACATTAGTCTCAGAAGAGAAGAGATGCTTTGTATCAGATTTAGCTAGCTTATTTCCATCTGTTGTCCCTCGGCATTTACTGTTATGAGTTATATTTGAGCTGATATATATGATATATTTTGCCCCCCATGTCATAGAGATTCTGACGTGCAAGTCGGAAAGTCGGGCACCTAATTCTTTTCTGAGTTTCCGAGTTGTTGTTGCGACTTGAGCAGGCGTTCATGTGCATTTTACAACTCGAAAACTTGTTTTTCCGATGTGTCCAACACCACATGAATGCACCATGTGACCCTACATGACAGGTATTTTGACGTGCACAAAGTCGTCTTATCTTGAGGGTAGATTCCTGGTTATCAATGTGATTGTTTTGAAACATTGGACAGTTATGGGCCTGTGTAATCCTTGTCAGTAATAGAGTGATATATCAGTTTTAAAGTTACATTAATCAACTTACTCCTTATTGTGAAACAGAGCTTTTTAACCCACAACCAGACATTCAGCCTGCATGGAACAACCTGTTGGGACGAACTGGGAAGGAAACAAGTTTAAAAGATTGGACTTGATGTGAAGGCTACAGCTGAGGGAAGAACCGGACTTAAGTTAAAAAGAGATCACAAAAGGAAACTAAAATAATGAGTTTTGTTTTTTTTAAAGATTTATTTTTGGGCTTTTTGTGCCTTTAATTGGAGAGATAGGACAGTGAGTTGGAAATCAGTTAGAGAGAGAGTGGGGTATGACATGCGGGAATGGAACCACAGGTGGGATTTGAACCTGGGCCGCCCGTTTGGAGGACCATGGCCTCCATGCACGGGGCATGCGCACCAACCACTGCGCCACCAGCGCCCCCATTAGTTTGTTTTAGTAAGACATATATCATCATACTAAGAAATTAAGGAGTTTTGTAAAGTGGGAAACATATGTTTACAATGCCAAACCTAAAATCAGAATAAAACACATAATGAAGTACAATAAGGCTTTGAGTCTTGTACTTATCTCTCCTGAATGAAATCCAGCAGTCTTATTTTCAGCTCTCTTGTTGTCTGTAGGTTAGTTTTATTTCTTGTTAGGTAGATTAGAGGGAGGTGCAGAGAGCGACGACCCGCTTTTATTAAAGTCTTCTTCCAACTTGGCCTCTTGTTTTAGATACTTTCTGATGAGAAGGAGTCTACATGAGTGGAAACACAGTTTAAAGGAAACGCTTACTTAAAGATGAGATAAGAACTTAAAAATCTGCCCACTCAGCATGAAGATATCTCTCACAGGAAGAAGAAGGGTTTACCTCAGATGTTTGATGATAAAAGTGAAGGGTCTTTGTACTTCACAGTGAGACGAGTTTCCCTCCGATTAAAGTTCAAAAGTGCAGACGTATGTATCAGATGAAGGTCATGATTAACATCTTCCTCTCAGGGTTTTAAGAAAGACATAACATAAATAAATAGTCACATTTCTCAGAAGATTTCACTCACAAATCTCTGATCCACCTTTCATTATTTTATTTTATTGTATTTAACCAGGAGGAGCATCCTGGCCAATCAGGCAGCAGCAGAGTCAACAAAGTTTCAGACAAACAAAGAGCAGCCGTATACAAAAATAACACAAAAAGCTACAAGAATACATTCAAAGACTTTTATTCATCAGTCTAAGAGCGTCTCTGTCGATGGTATTCAGAGGAGCTGTTTGTCAACAGGTAAGGCAGGCAGCTGATTGGGCCCCCAGGCCAGTAGGGGGCCTCCAAGGGCTGACAAACTTTAAACCACAGCAGTGGCTCAAAATGTAAAAATTTTGCAACGACAGTAGGATACCTCCCTAAAGGGGGCCCCATCTGACAGCACTCCCTCTCCTTTGCAAACCAACCTTTGTCAGAACAGGAAAAATGTGAGTTAAAAAAAAGACAGGAAGCGTCGGGACATAATGATTGAAACGGGTTGGAGGGGCCCCCAATTAACTTTTTCCTAGGGCCCCAACAGACTCTAGATTCGCCACTGATGGTATTCTATAGAAAACAGAGGTCAATGTTTTTCCACGTTCCTGCTCTGACCTTCAACAGAACAAAAAGACGTTGTTTCTCTGAAACCAGAGGTCTGGTCTGCTTCTCTGTAGCCCTGTTCAGACTGCCGTTTCAAGCTGCGATATTTACGTCCCTGTGACGTTTTGTCTTCAACCTGAATGAGGCAGAGACATAATGGGGGGACCAAGTGAACCCCCTCTGAGCATGTGCTACATCATCATACAGGCGTACAGTCGATCATATTGTGTAATGTAAACAAGCAGACGCAAGACCCCGAGCAGATGTGACCACCCGAGCAGATCTGGTACCTAGCATTAGCATGCTAATGGCGCACATCCCTACATACCACCCAGTCTAAGTCATGAAATACTTCCCATGTGTGGTAGATTTGACAGATTGGAGGTAAAAAACGAGGCTGCTTTATGTTACATTTATCAGGCCGTTAAAATCATTACAAAGGTATAATCTTTAAGTAGCAGTTCATAAGACATGTGTTGTAAAATCAAAAGCGACCTGCATACATTCAAATATATGAAATCTAAAACAGAGTGTGAACACAGTGCCTGTCGAGGTCATCGTCTTTTGTTGACGGTGCTGTACAGAGCAGCTGGATCCTCTTCAGGTTCTTTACTTCTGGTTCTGAAGGGGAAAATTGATCAACATGAAGTTTAACTAAAAGAATTGAGTTACCAACACGTCCATTACAGGATTAAAGTACAAACACATCAGAGGAAGATAAGAGCGAAAACAGCTTTCATCTTATAGTGAGAGTTTAATGTTTTCTCAGCTGCTCACCTCATGGCGGTGCTGTTCCTGGTAAATTTGACGGCAGCGTACTCAGTGACGTCCTGCTGCTCCGTTCTTCTGGGGGGCCGAGCTGGTCTGGTATTGCTGTACAGAGGCTCCTGGGTTTTAGAGAAGTGTATGCTGGCATACTGAAGGTCTTCCTGCTCCTCTGGTTGTCCTTGATTAGGTGAACAAAATCACTTTGAGCTGCATATTTACCATGTGGAGGTTTTTCATTTAAAAAGTGAATTCTAGCAGAGGACCGCAACCAAGATAGGAAAGGCCACAGCAACAGCAGTTATGGTGATGATGTTATTAAAATACTTTGAGTGTTGGCACACAGTGTAGAAGGGGGGGATTTAACCATTTTTATTTTATGAACGCTAACAGTTAAACATAATTAGGGGCGTGGCTGAGTTGACTCCCAGGTGGGCGTGTTGTAGCCGTTTGTCAGGAGGCATAAGACCCGCCTCAGCTCCAGATTTTTGCTTGTTACTAGGTTCACTCAAAGACAGCATTTCCAATATGGCAACCACCATCAGTGAGCTTCAACATTTCACTTCAGAAACCAGTGGGTGACATCACTGAGACGACGTCCATGTTTTTATACAGGAGGAAAATTCAAAGACAGCCTCAGGAATTTGTTTCTATCGGACAAATATGAAATGTTCTTTCTCATCAGCAAGTATAAAACATGCTTCATGATCAGTGTTGGCTGGTGCTTTGTACTCCAGGGTGGGCATAAGTTCTCTAAGATGAACCGCGATCTTAGTTCTTTAGCTTGATGCTAACACATGCCGGAAAATGCCAGTAAGCTAATTAGCATTGCGGTAATTTAACGATACGATTTATTTTACTCGTACTTACAGGCATATGTTTCATAAACTCTGTGGCGACAAACTTTAAAAACTGCTGACTCATGCTAGTCTGGTCTGCTGCTCTGATCCATCTTAATAAACATTCAATGCTCTGAACCAGTGACGCTGCATGACTCGCTCTTTAATTCTCAGTTCATGGGACATGTCCATCTGCTGCCCCCTTTTGGTGGTGTGTAATACGCTAATGAGCACATTTTTCCTGCGCTACCTGAGACTCCCATCTTTTGTCTTGAAGCGGAGTAAATATGTGCAAATTATAATGAGAGTCAATGGAGGCCCGGAGCGCTGGAGTCTAGCGCCCAAGTTAAGAGACACGTCTCCAATCAGTAACTTTGGACAGATTAAACATTTAACTCAATAACTACAAAACATTTCCTTTTAAAATTGTTCATGTATGTACAGCCTTTATTTAAAACAAATTCTTCTTCTGGGGAGTGATTGGCGGTGCCCTAGCGCTCTCTAATGACCAGCAGCTACTGTTCATGATGTCTGCAGAAACTAACGCAATGATTGTGTACTTGTAGGATGATCAGCTCTGAGCAGTCGGCTGAGTGAAATATTTGCTTGGTCAGATTATTGGACGGACCATATCGAGCACATTTACTCTTCTGGATGAACGACCTCTGAGTAACACAGCAGTCTGAATGAATCAGCGTTTATTTAGTACTAAGATATTAATCAGAACTATTCTCACCTGCTCCGTGTGTTCTTGTCTCTCTTCAGCCTCAGACGGTTCATTGGAAGCCCTCTTTTGTCTTGTGAGAAGAATTTAAAAGTATGATGAATTATGTTTTTTAGATATGACTGACTTTTAATGATTCAGTGAAACGAAGCAGCTCACCTGATCCACACGAGGACAGAGAGGAACACGATAACCAGGAGAACAACCGTGATTGTTCCAGCAACAGCCACTGATTTCCCTCCCCCTGGGAAATGGTGACCAAAAAAAGCATTCAGATATATTCATCATCAGTCTGTCCTAAGCAGAAACCTCCACTCTTGAAAAATGAAGCAGATGTTGAAGTGCAAAATCCTGCAGTTCTTCGAGTGTCCACTAGAGGCTGTCTGCAGGAGCACAGGAAGTCACATACACACCCATTCAAAGAAGACGGCCAAATTGTGAACATCGTCTTTTAAAAAAAACAAATATGTCTTTTTAGCTCATGTCTCAATCAGCACACACTGTACGGGGGGTGAAGGCATAGCTGACCTGATTGACAAGCAGGCGCCATATAAGGGTTTCTCAAGAGGTTTAAAGCCTCAGCTCCAGCTCTCAGCCTGTTATGTTGACTGAAATTTAGGGTGAGACAGCATTTCCAGCATGGAGACCGCCATCGATAGGACTCCAGCGCCCCCGCAGGAACTGATGTATTACAGTTTTAGTCGTACTAACACAATTTATCGACTATCTCTAACAGCAAGAGCAGACGTTCATGTGTATTTTCCAATTGGAAGCTAATTCTTCCGATGTGTCCGACACCACATAAATGCAGAGTAGGAATGTGGAAAGTTCAGCAAAACATTTGAGTGGCTAAAAAATGGAAAAAGTGGGGATGTTGGGTTTTTAGGTAGGTAGATACACTTTTTAAATAATAGGTGTTTTACTCACATTTGACATTTATAGAGATGTGTTTGGATGTCCTTCTCCCCAGCGTGTTCTCAGCTTCACAGTAATACTCTCCAGAGGCCGAGGAGTTGACTGAACTGAGGACGAGCTGTGCTCCTGCATTTGAGGGGATTAAGGTTTAGAGGTCCATTCTTGAACCAGGTATAATTAGCTGCTGGGTTAGCATCACTGCTACAGTTCAGAGTCACTGAACTGCCCTCCACTATCTCAGCAGAGGGACTCACTGACACAGAGGGAAGCTTTGGAGCATCTGGAGGAGGATAAAAGTCTATTTTAAACATAGAATGAACATGTAAATCTTTCAGAGTTGAAAGTCCATGTCCTGTTAGAATCAGTATCTTTTATTTGACATTCTCTCAGTCTAAAGCTGTAGAGATGTGAACTTCTCTGAGTTAAAATCCTTTTTAAACAACATATCTTTGAAAGTGATAAATACTGATGATCCTCCTGCTACAGCCCTGATCTCTAACCATCCACGGTCTCAGCAGAGAGACTCACTGACACAGAGGGAAGCTTTCATGCTTCAAAAAGAGACGTAGTTTAATAACTGACCTTTAAATGAAAACAGCATTTAGTGAAAAGGTTTCTGAAGATTTGAAAGTCATTAACAGACAGGATAATCAAGGTGTGAGCAAACTATGAAACTACAGAGAAATCAGGTCAGTAAGGAAAATCTCCAAATGTTGAATGTTGCTGTTTAAAGTGTTTCACTCACATTTCACATCAATAGAGATCCATTTATAGGTCGGCTTTCCCAGATCGTTCTCAGCTTTACATGAAAACTCTCCAGAGTCAGAGGACTTGATGGAGCTGAAGACCAGCTGAGCTTCTCTACTGAGAGGTTGATTGTTAAAAATATAACTGAAGTGTCATTAGATCTGTGTTTGTATTTCAGTGTCCGCCCAGCTTTAGTAAACTGAAGGCCTTCTCTAAAGCCGGCGTTTGTTTTGTCTTTTCTGGTTCATTATAGGAACACGTGAAGCGTAAATTTAATAAAGAGCTACTTCTTGGAAATCATTAACATAATGTAACCCAGGTTATTTCTGTAGTTTCATATTTACAGATGTTCCTTAAACGCATTACAGATTTACGCAAGTTCCTTGAATGCACCACCTGCAGGCTATCGGTACCCTCTGAAGCATCGGCACGATGAAGTTTTTCTCCGTGATTTCTACAGACTGTGAAGTAAAATAGACACATAAAAAGGAAGCTGTTAGACAGGAAGATGAATAAGATACGTTCATGAGCTGTTTCCAAGAGTTAAAAAGCTTTTAGTGAAGCTGGGAGTTTCTCCAGTCACAGTGTAGGAGAAGTTCACCGGCAGAAACTCTGAAGGTGTTCTCACCTTTAATGTGGATATCCTGGTGAGTTAGCTGTTCAAATTAGCTGACTAGCATGCACATTTCATTGTTAAAATGTTTCAGTTGTATTTAATTTGAATTCAAGATGTCATAGAACTAAAACCAGTCAGGATATTTGGTGTAAATTGAAGTTTGGATGTAATGTGGTCTGTGTTTACCTAACTGTGGCCTAGTAGCTACGAGCTAAGCTAAGCTCTGTATCTGTGTGTAGCACGCAATGTCATTTTTTTCCATGTGATGAAGTCACTTGGGACACAAATTGATAAAAAACAGTCACTTAGTTCATGTGTTATTGTTGTGTTAAAATCAAATTAAAACTGTGAAGTAACTGGGTCTTTTCTGAGGGACGATTCAACCGCCGTCCAGGTCTTTGCTGCTTGAGGGTGCTGTCGTCTCATCTGGATGCTGATCTGCAGATAATGTGTTGTTCCAAAGAGAGGTAGGAAGCACATATGGAGTCTAACTGAAAGGATTTTTATTTTTATTTGCACTTTTTTTCTGAGATCTCAGTATGTTTTGTTTTGGGCCTAAAATCTAACATTAAAGGAATTCTCTTTTCATAACCGAAAAACAAAGTTGAAACGGACAAAGACTGAAACCTTAAAAGGGGATTTAATTCATTTTGTTACAAAGGTGTGTTTTCCATCTTGTCTTTTCGATTTGTTTAATTTAAGATATATGGAAGAGGTATTTTTTTATTTAAAGTGTATACATGTTTCATATATGTGAACAGGAAAAGAACTGTGATCAAACCTCTTAAATACGTTTCTCTTTTATATCCATACATCGGTGTTGTGTGTGTTTGTGTGGACTGGAGGTCTTATTGCTCTTTATAGAGTCTGCTACGACCAATCTCCTTAAACAACCTAGTGAATCACAAGGTTTGAGTAACCTGAACAACTGAAACGCTAACATTCTGAAACTGTTCATTTAGAGATCATTTGATATTGATACTTAGAACATTTGATCTAGAGTCTTCTGAATTGACAACCTATTTTAGGTTTAACCCCCCCTGGTTAGAGGATACAATAACAAACTTTTAAAGTAATTAAACTCAAGTAAAAATATTTTAAATCGTCACATTAAAGTCCTGATTAAATCTCACACACTGGTCCTTGAACTTGAATCTGTCAAAGAGACTATAGTAGTGTGTTTATTTGTAGGTGAGAGTTTCTTCTTTACACATAATATCTTCAAGAACATTTCTGCTGTTTCACTCACATTTCACATTGATAGAGACGTATCCAGACCTCTTCCTCCCCAGCTTGTTCTCAGATCCACAGTAATACTCTCCAGAGGCCGAGGGTTGAATGTAGTTGAAGACCAGCTGTGCTCCTTCATGAAGGTATTGAGGGGTCTGATTTCTCTTGTACCATTTAAAAGTAGCTGCTGGGTTAGCATCACTGCTACAGGTCAGAGTCACTGAACTGCCCTCCACTATCTCAGCAGAGGGACTCACTGACACAGAGGGAAACTTTGGAGCATCTGGAGGAGAATCAGAGAGACCTTTGTCATCCACATCAGATGATGATGATGAACATATTACATTCTAACTTAGCTTTTGGTTTTGAAATTGAGGCTCATGACAGCTGAATAAAGGTTTTTTTTTTTACATTGAAACAGATAAACAGGACACTCTATGAAAAATCTAAATAAATAACAAATACCACTGAGGTACATGCTGCTATGAGGCACCATTTAATAGTTTAAAGATTCCATCTGATGGTGTGAATCAGTGAAGACTGTAAATAAACTCACACACTGGAGGAGACGGGCACTTCTCATGTCCTGATAGAGCACAGGAGTAACTGTCTGTCTGAAGAAGCTGCTCTGGTGAATAATAAGATGAAGTGCTATGTTTGAGTTTCTGTCCGGTCCTGAACCAGATGTAGGAGGTTTGACTGGAAAGTCCACTGAGACACTGAAAGAGCAGAGCCTCATGTGGTCTGCTCACCTTCACCTGGAGATCTGAACATGTGAAGAAACGTCAACTGTTTTCACAAAACATGCACATATTAAAACATGTATTTATAATGTATTAGAAACAGTGAGCTCAGAAATATTGAGGTGAAAGATTACCTGTGACTGACAGAGTGACCCCAGGGTGACCAGAATAACTGTCTTTGTTTATTATGAATCCAAACCTGTACACAGTCGAGTCTGTCTCTCTCAGGTTTGTGATTCTCAGAGTGCATTTGTTCTCATCACAGATATTCTTCACACGACCTGAATACTCTGAGTCTGTTTCTACATCTTTGTAATGAAAACCATCTTTTCTCAACCAGAATGTTTTCTGAAGTGAGTTAACTTCTCCTTTTGTCCTCTCTGGGTATGTGAAGGTGCAGTTCATCTCCACAGTTGATCCTTTATAAGCACAGATCTGAAGAGAAGAGTAAGTCACTCTCCAGCTGTCCTGACCCTGAACCACTGTAACACAGAGCACATCAGGAAACAACCATCAACATCCATAACCTTAAAAAGAAAAATGAAAAGTCTCTACATATAAAAAAAAACGTTTGTATCCAAACAGGAAGTAAAGCACCCTTAACATAAAACAGTATAATATCTACAATAAAAGCATAACATATTTAAAATGTAAAATAATGGAACTTCAAACATGTGATTAAAGATATGATTAATCATAAATGTGTAATTGTTTGAAAGCCCTAGTGCAGGGGTCTCCAACAGGTAGCTCGGAGCAGGCAGGTTTAAAGTAGCTCACCTATAGGTTGACCGACTGTTAAAAGAATAAAGATAAAAATAAATCAGTGAATGTACCTCTTCCCACTATTCATACATTTGGCCCATTAAAACAAGTGTAAAGAAGTAATGTTTTCTTGGACATTGATGTGAATTCTCAGCAACATAGCTTACAATAAGAAGTGTAAAATATTCATGTTTTTTTCTTGGACCTTGATGTGAATTTAAGATTCTTGATGAGCATTGGCTTTTTGCAATTTCACACGTGTACAAACAGTAGCTTCATTCAGCTGATGTAAATGAATGCAAGAGATTTGATTGGCCACTTTCATTTTTTCAAAGAAGCTCTCAGATGAAGAAAGGTTGGAGACCCCTGCTCTAGTGAAAAATAGACTGTATGTTAAAATTGACGTGCAACGGCTGCAGTCAAAGCCGAAAGATTTAGAGCGCCCCCTGCTGACTGGCTGCAGTATAGGTCAAACTCCAACCTCCTCCATGATAACAGAAAGCCATGGGGTCAACAATGAAATCTAAATGCATGCATCTGTTCTTCTGTTGACTGAACACACACGGGATTTTATGTTTCTCTGTACGTTAAATGTTTTCGTTAGAGGAAGTAGCGTGACGTCTTCCAGTGGATCCCTACTACGCAGACTCTGGTTGCAAATATGCAATATGTAAGCGCCCATCATGAGGATCATTTGGCTTCATCTTGTTCAACAGAAGGAGCCTGAGGATGTTTGTCCATTTGTATATACAGTTAAAGGAAGAGTAGAAGATGTTCACTTGTTTCTACAGTTAATCTGCAAGTCGTTGAGACCAACATCATCCAGTCTGAAGTGTAGAGAACGTTAAATGTGTTATTTAGACCTGTGAACTTTACGTTGTAAGAAAGTATTGATTATCAGAGAGAAGAACGTCACTTAGAATGTTATATTTAGAGGTAATCCCTCTCCTTCACCATTGTAGGATGAAAAGACAGTTTTATGTATTTTGATGTGGCTGGGTCAATAATGCTCGTTTAGGAATGAAGGGCAAGAAATTCTTCACATCCAAACATCGGTGAGTGCTAACAAGCTAACATAAGTTAAGGTTAGCTGACGATAGTATCTGGGTCTCTGTCAGTCAGTGTTCGCAGTAATTCGTTAAAGCAGGAATATTTAGATCAAGTTAACACAATCTTTAATGTCATGATGAGGAAAGTCTGTTCTTTTGTTCCCTCACAGGACAGCAGAGCGTCTAACAGCATTAATCCACAATCTCCTCCTCTCTGGTTTCTTTCCAAACATTCTGTAGAAGAACAACCCGGGCTCGTCTCCTCGTCGGTTAGTGCATCACATTCAACAACAACTGTCTCTCATTTGAAACATGGAAAAATTAAACTGATAAAAAACACTGAGACCAATAACTTCTCAGTAGCGTTCAGCTACAGAGTCTTTTATCCCCGCCAGGTGGCGTTCCATAAGCGGTATGTCATGTGAAAACTATGAATTGATTATTAAAGACTTTTGCCATACTTGGATGGTCTGTGGTAAGTTTGCTGTTGAAGTAAGTGTGAAGACTTTAAAAAAGCAGAACTATGAGGTGTGAGAAAACAGAGCAGACACTCATACTTAAAAATACGATCTTAAAAGCTGTCAACGCATCATGGAAACAAGTTTCCATCCAAAAAATGTTAAAAAGATAAAAAATACATGTCGATAGAAACGTATGAAAGATTCTGCAAACAAACTGCTTAAGAAATAATATGAAAAAGGCGATCCAACTAAAGATCTTCCTGTTAGACATTAAAACAGATATACAATGATATACATTAAAACTGTGTTATAGTGTTTCTGAGAAGATTCCTGTAACATCAAGCACACTTTTCAGTCTGCATTAATCAGTCCCACATCTCTCAGATTTCCCTCTTTAGATTAAATGAATGTAACTGTAGATATGAATACCTGACACAGAGAGGAGGAGGACGATAAATCCACTCACTGCTGCAGTTAAAGTCATCGCTGCTCCTCTCATCTCTCTGTGTGACTTTAGGGACAATAAAACATGTTAGCAGATTAATAAGAACACAGCAGGACTCAAACAGTACCAGACATGTTGATAAATTATTCTACTTACATTGAAGAAGGATATCGTCTGAGAAAGACTGTCCTCCTCTGCATGAGTGAACAGAAGACAGATATCAGTGTTTTAACGCCTACATTTCCTTCCTCTTTAAGATGATAACATATATGATCAGTCAAACAGGAAGAACTCACGTCACAAATAAGTCCTATTTACCAAACTTTTTTAGGCAAACTTATTTTTACAGGACATAAAACTAAACAAGGGTTATCTTCAAAATGTGAGACCCTTGGGTGCAGAGCATCAACACGGTAGCCCGACTGTGCACGACTGACACAGGGTGTCTTCAAAAACACACACAAATAAATAATAATAAATGATTTACCTTTAAAAATAACCTATAAAATTCACCTTTATATCTCAGTTACAAAACAAAAAATGGAACTAAATACATTTTTAGCTTCATTCTTTATTGACACAAAAATAAGATGTATGCTAAAAGTCCAAATTAACTTACTTACAGTCAACTTGCAAGATTACATGAATTAGCAATGTGTTGGTCCTGTACAGCTAGTTACTTCATTGCAAGTATGACAGTGTGCATTACCGTCCTATGCACCGGTCGTGAAATAGATATGCAAAGTATTTATTATTATTATTTTAACTATTTATCAAACAATTAAAAATGATTCATTGATTCAGGAGCCTTAAAAAAGAGAAGAGTCAGTTTATCATTAGTCTCAGCTCTGACAGTGAATAGCCAATCACAGTTCAGGATAATTTTTTTTTTGGGGGGGTACTCATAGCTGTCAAGTGGATTAATCATAGAAAATAAAATAGATTCATAGGAATATTTTGCAGCAGAACAGAGTTCAAAGAGAAGCATGCTGAGAACAAATTTTTTATTTATTTATATAATTATTTTTGAATCCCACTAATCTTGTACATCCTGTACAGTTCATCTGTGCACTGAGCAGATGTTTAATAGTCTGCAGCTGAGTTGAACCAAGGGCTAGATCAGGAGCAGAAAAGTTCAGGTGCGGCAGGCAGAGCAGAGGGAGAGCAGGAACCTAAGGCATGAGCGCAAATATTCAGAAGAGAGGAGGCCGACCAAACGGTGAGAGCAGTTTGGGAACGCGCGAGAGATTTCTGTCTGCCGTCAACGTAAAAACATGG